ATCTTCTTAAAATAAAGCCAGCTCCAAATGTTTTGGCTTTGACTCTACTAAAGTAGCTTTGATTGAAAATTCAAAATAATCTTTCTTTATCTTAAAGAAGCCTCAGTTCATCCTAACCACCACCCCTAACCCTTTTAGCTCCTCCCCCTTCGAGTCAAATTTCTTCTGATTGGGTACAACCCGTTAAAAGTAAGAGGCCTGAAGAGCAGGCGGGTCCACTGTGCCTGAGATGACCATATATCAAACTTCAGCTGTACAGTTATAACATGCGAGTCTATGGGACGGACTCACAGCTGGAGTCTGCCTCCAGTGGCTGTTAAAGGAACTGCAGCTTGGATTTGGTGCGATTCATTTTTTCAGTCTTCAGGTTTCCTCTCAGACGCTAACAGGAAGTTTACCCACACTTTGACAAATAACTATGACAAAAGAATCTAAGGATTCAAAATGCTTTGTAGTGTTTTGTGATGTGTGTGGAGTTTTAGAGTCTGCTGTGGACATTTCAAAAAAATCCAGTTTTTGGTTTCTGACACTGACGTTTGTGTTGATGCTGTTACACTAGGTTTAGATCAATTATGGAAAGTTCGTATGCTGATTATTTTTTTTATTCTTCATTCAAGATAGTGATCCTTACCTCACCTTTAGAAGATAACATTTTCTGCGAGGCAGATTTGTTCATTAACAGCTTTCTTTGTAATCCGGGTGCATTATGCTTCATTAAAAACATATTTGCTTTTGCACATGAACAGTATATAAATGTCATTTCTCAGAGAAAGGATTTCTGATACATATCATCCCCCCTGCTATTCACACAGAGACAGCAGCACGTTTAACTCAGTGGTGCTTCATTAAAATGACACTTCATCACATATTCATGAGGACTGATGTGAAGGACATCAGCAGCTCGATCTGCAGACTGTCGCACACACTTAGCAGAGTTCACCTATAGACTGTCTGCTCTGTGGTCTGTGTGTGTGTGTGTGTGTGTGTGTGTGTGTGTGTGTGTGTGTGTGTGTGTGGATGGAGTAGTAAATGTGAGATGTGTAATGAATAATGAATTTAGGGTGAATTTAGGTCATGCGGGCGAATAGAAGGGACAACATGGGAATAGCTCTTTCTTTCCTCATCTCTGTGTGTGTGTGTGTGTGTGTGTGTGTGTGTGTGTGTGTGTGTGTGTGTGTGTGTGTGTGTGTGTGTGTGTGTGTTTCGTGCAGACTAAAAGGGAAGTACCCTCTCCTCCCAGCATTTGCTTAATCTCTTCATCCACACGTCCCTGTTCTTTCCTCCAGATCGGAATCTATCAATGAATTAATTTCTCGCTCTGTCGCTCTCCATCCGTCCACCTGCATCGCCTCCCTTTGACTCTCCGATCCCCTCCCACCTCCCCACAGACTGCTCCACCTGCACCCGCCCCGTCTCCCCTCCTCCCCTCAGGCTTCCCTGTGGACGGGCGGGTCCACCTGCCTCTGCCTTTTGAAGCCCTTCAGGTTCTCTGGGATGGCTCAGGACCCTGAAGAAGCCGAGGGGGGCCGCAGAGAGGAAATTGGTACAGTATGTTTAATATTAACCGGCACAGAACGGAAACATGGCTGCCCACAGGGCATGAACTGCCTCTTTACTGCGGTCTGCGAGATTAACAGCAGCTATTAAAATGTCCTGTTTGGGCTTTCAGTCATTAAACATTTTCATTCTTGAGAGTGAGCACTCAGCTGGCAACCCAACACTCAGACTGGAGTCTGGTAATCTCTGTAACATATGTAAGATATGACTACAGGAAGAATATACAGAGACCAGAAGCTTTCTATTTATTTATTCCTGCTGTGTCCGCGTTGCTGCTGTAACAGTGTGAATTTGCCAACACTGCAACTAATAAACTTCTCTTAAATCAAAGAAAATGTCCATCCCAGTTTGTGAGAGCCCCACGTCAGAAGAAAACTTTAACACTTTTAGTTTTCTGTGGAAAAAACAACAAATAATACAATTTTTGGAGCTTAACTTTTGCTTTATCACCATAAAACCTGCAAAGTCCCCTCCTGCCTGATACATTCATGTCTGCAGCTGATATACAGTTGTGATAAAAATGTGTGGTATGTTGTGTTTTCTTAAATCTAAGACTGCGCCGTGAACACGCAGGGCGCCGAAACTTGCAGCACTAATCAGATCTGAAACTCTTCCTCCTCGTCCTTCCTCTCTAAATCCTAAATGGACCTCCTGTGCTCTCACGGCTGATTTAATTCGAGTGGTCATAATGTGTCAAATTTCCAGGATAACAAAGAATCGGTGAGAGGCGAACAACACGGTGCGTTTAATGTCATTGTGCACCGGCAACAGCAACTCAACGAGCTTCCTGTCAGCAGAGGTCAAGCAGCTCTAAGCTGCAGCCTCAATAAAGACTCAGAGTGTGTGAAGGAGGCGACCCTCCATCAGGCGCCGTTAGATTAAGACTTGATTCATTAACGAGCTCCGCCCCCTCCTTAAGTCAGTGCCAGCAGGAGCTCCATGAATATTTAAATGAAGAAAGTCTCTGTGGATGATCATGGATTTCTGTTTTTTTAAAACCTCCATGCTGAGGACGAGGCTGCTGTTATTAAAGGAAGTGGAGCATGCTGGGATGTTTTCTTCACCCGTCATTTATTACGTCTGTTTCATTTTTCTGTCTGAGCTCGTTACATCATTAGACCC